GCCAGCACGGGGTAACTGCTGTTGACCAGCACGGACGGTGGCGGCATCGTCATGACCGCCGATGCCGCGGCCGCCCCGGTCATCATGGCCGACATGGAGGTCGCGTGGCCGCCGCCGCCACCCAATAACGACTGCGGCCCGTGGTGAGACACGGACGACGAAGACGACGGCGGCGGTGCCGATTGCTGGTGCTGTCTCGACGATGTCAGCCCGGCGGCGGCGGACGACGAAACCGATGTGCCGCCACCGCCGCCTCCTCCACCGTGATGCTGCTGATGGTGCTGCTGCTGGTGCTGCTGCTGGTGATGGTGCTGCTGCTGGTGCCGGCCACTGCCGTTCGTCGACACCGGCGATGGGGAACGCGACCGCTGGTCCAGGCTGGTGGTGCCGTAGTACGTGCGGCCGCTCTCCGACCTATCCGGGCTGGGTGACCGGACCGGACTCGTGGACGCCGACCAAGAACCTGCGGGACAGACGTGAACACGCGCACGACCACGTTTCATCGTTATATTAATATTATGGTTTTAACCGTTATACCTATCATGTACACACATGGTATACTTTATTATTATGATTATTTATGCCATCGCAATAAATGTACTTTAACATAATGCTCTAATATATTATAATATTATTTACGCATTGCATAGCAGTAGGTATATTATGATAATAATATATCGATGGCTCGTGGCACTCTTACACAAGTATTTACGTTCATATCGAATATTATGTGTTATTATTCAAAAATACATAAATACGCTCTAAAAATCGAGTGAAGAGTGATCGTTGTTTATAAAACTTGAATGGGTAGTTTTTGTTGTTGTAATAATTTAAATGTTTTAAACTGATGATACATAAATYCATTCATACATTTGCCCCCTCTCCCTCAGTCCACATCTAAATCATTATTCTTAGTATTTTTTCGACTATAGTGACAGCTGCATTCCGCCAATTAGAAATGCCTCAAGTAATAACATCGCAGTACTTTTTACAGACAACGGACATACTGACCGGTGTAAGCCTTTCATGAGTTAAGAGGATGCTTATCGTCCTCGTACGTATTGTCTCCGCTTTTCAAATGTATAAGACACGGAGAATTATGCTCAGTGGAACCGATTTTGGTCGTTACGCAGCTTAAAGKACACTCGACCCCTTCTCCTCAGTCTCCTATCAAAATAGACCTATACTTTATACCCTGTCAAAGCAGTACCRTCCTCGTAATCTCTCCTAACTATATTGAAAATGTTTTTATTAAATCCCTTCAAACTTAGTCGATGTTAATGTTTTGAATACTAAGAATTTTAAATTATTAATAATATTGAAGTTGAAAAAATTAATGAAAAAAATATGAAGAAGACATCGTTATGGCGAGTAAATTTTATGAAAGATTAAATCATATTATGTTTTCAAAAATTTTTATCGGATAAATAGGTTAGGAATTAATAATATATGCTTGAAAAAAGATTGAAGCTTTTGACCAAAAGACAAAAAAAACGAAATAGTTAATATTAATTTGTTTAATTCGTTTTTACACGTGCGGGAGCGGGAGCGCTCCGATATTTAACACATTTACACTACTTGCATTAGTATTTGCCTATATCGAACTCCTTGAAAATTGTCGTGGTCGAATTGAATATTAGATTGAATATTATAATATAAGATGTGATCAAACCCAAAGACAAAAAATATCGTATTTGGTCGCTGTYGCTGCTCGATTTTAACAATATATTAATTATTAAGTGAATTATATAATTATATATAAATATATGTATACAAATACAAAATATTAAAACATAAAAACGCTTAAAACTCGATTATACATTAAAACTTCCTAAAAAACCGACGAGAGATATCTTTAGACGACATAATATTATTATTATGTTGTCACCTCTAAGTTTTATCACAGCGGTCTATAAAGTATTTGCATATTAAAGATAACAACACAAAATCAGTTCTTCTCAATGCAAATTTGCCATGTCGCATGCGCTTGTGTGAGGCCGCGGAGACAACACATCACGTGCGTTCCTAAGCTATATATGTGAATACGTATAGGTATATTATGTTAAAAGACAAAAACTGCAATTATTATTATTTTTTGCCTATACTATATAGGTATTATGTAAACGATAAAACGGAGAGTTTTCGATAAATCTCAGTCGAATGGCAAAGGAGTGTAATACCTATTATATTATTTATAATTGTTATTATTGATTGGTTATTTGATATGAATATAATTATGCGCATAATATTTTTATGCATTCACACCTATATTTTCTGTATCCAAGAATCGTCGCACGTTTTATTGTTGTACATAAAGTAATAATAATATTGCCAATCGTTTGATTCCGAGAGTTCGTGTATAATAATATTATTATACAATTCACACGAATTGAATGTATAATATGATGATATATCGATTTCTCACTATATAGGTCAAAGGGATCAGGAAATCGTATGAGATGCATTTATAATAATTAAAATCGTATTATAGCATTTGATTGAAGGCACGGACTGCACAATAAATTGCAGCATTATTATATACCCGTATTTTAATATCGGTTAAAAAAAACCAATATTATTAATGAACACAAAACAGCAGTCGAAATAACGTACCTATATAACATTATAATAGGTACCAATAMGGTTAAATGTTATAAGCTGTCAATAATCAGATRATATCAGCATTTTATGTCATACTAAACGACAAAAGTTTKGGATGCTGGGAAAAACCCCAGAAAATAGTTATAGAACAATAATTTATGATACTTATTCTAAAAAAAAAAATTATAATATTATGTGAAAAAAAATGTTAAAATGTAAAAAAAAAACGAATTACCTATGAAACCGATTCAGTAATTTTATCAATAAAACACTGGTAAAAAATAGTGTATTATTAAGATTATTCCTTTAGCGACTTAATACGGACTGCGAGTCATCTGTATACTCGTCGTATATTTAAAGATTCCGATATCACCACAGAGTAAACTGCAGCGAAACAATGGCTATTATATTTCAGCGGAAAGCTTTCGTTTCAAAACGTATATAATACATAGGTATAGTTACATTAATCGCATTCATATGACCAATTTACTCAAAAACCAAATAAAATCCATAAACTATTACAAGGCATATAAAYGCTTAATAATTGTACTATTTTCGCTGTAAGGCATGCTCACCCCTATTTTTATTTTTATTTTTCAATAATGCAGTTACTCGACGACGTATGGTTTTTAGCGTTTTTAAATATGATATACTTATAGTTGATATACCTAMTAAGTATACTTAAAGAACGTACTGAAGAGATACAAACTTTTGGTTTTCAAATGAGAATCTCAGTTTTCTCATTATTTAGTGGATAATGTTTTTAGCGTATCAAAATTCTAACGAGTAGTGATTGGGTTATTTATTCATATTCAATTTTTTTTATTAAGGATTTTAGGTCTAAAATAATGGGTTTGRAAGAAATAGGGGCTATGGCGATTTAAAAATGTTAAGTGTAATTAATATTAATTTATTGACGTT